AGGTTTTGAGTGGATGGTAAAAGTATTTTGTGATTTTATCGAAGATTATGTATACCAAAGGATCCGGAGTTAAGAAAACGAAGGCTCATAATGCGACTTATTCTATACATCCTAGTTATGTCAAGATGTATAATGATCTTCATGGATACTATTGGTGGATTGAAATGAAGAAAGATATTTTAAAATTTGTTTCATGGTGTTTAATATGCCAACAAGTAAAATATGAGCACTAGAGGTCAGCGGGAAAGTTGTAGGAGTTGTCACTATCGAAGTGAAAGTGGAAAAGAGTGATAATGGATTTTGTGATGGGTTTGCCTCAAACCCAAGAAGGGTATGATTCGATTTAGGTTACTGTGGATAGATTAACTAACTTCGCTCACTTCTTGTCGATAAAGACCATCTATAGGTATGCTCGACCTACCCAACTATATATTGATTGAATAGTATTCTTACATGATATTTGAGTTTCCATCATTGTAAATCGAGATACTCAATTTACTTCTCGATTCGTGAGAAAATTACAAGAGGCTCTTCATATAAAATTAGACTTTAGTACGACATTCCATCCTCGAAAAGATGGTCAATCAAAGAGAATGATTCAAACCTTAGAGAATATGCTTAGAGTATGTATGATGGATCTAAGAGGTACTTGAGATCGTCATTTACCATAGATTGAATTCTTGTACAATAATAGTTATCATTTGAGTATCGATATGGCATCGAATGAGGCTTTCCATGGTTGAAAGTGTAGATCGTTAATATGTTAGGCAAAAGCCGGAGAGAAGGAACTTTAGGGCCGGATTTGATTTAGCTTACTATCGAAAAAGGTGAAATTGATCTAATAATGCCTTAGGACTCGCACATAGTAGATAAAAGAACTATACAAACCTTAAAAAGAGACATGTGAAGTTTCAAGATGGTGTTTTATTTTATTTTTGTTCACTTACTATGGTATGGTTGGAATTAAATTCGAGGATGGATTTTTTAAGAGGGGAGCATCTAATAACCCATCTAAAAATAAAATAAAGTTTAGTAATTTTTATATGTTGCGAGGTTAAGAAAAGAATAAGAACACAATTGAAGTAAATAAAGTTAATGTACTATAATAAAACAAACCTAATAATATAGGGACCAACCTTAACAAAATGAAGCAAACTTAAAGAAAAAAAAAGAGAGGGCAGTTTGGTAGAAAAATGGGACATCCATTTTGTCCCTCATTTTTCACTCCTTATTCTCCCTTGCTTTTCCTCCACTCTCTCTACTTCCTACCATTCGTCCTCCTCCCTTTCTAAGTTAAAATCTTGCCTAACTAATTTAGAAAAATCATAAAACAAGTTGATTAAAGTGAAGTTTAGTTAGATTAAAGTTTGGAAGGCTTGAAGGGTTTTAGGATTAAAATTGGGATTAAAAAGCCAATACTCAAAGGTAAGAAATTTTGTCATTTGGTCTTTAAATTGAGATGTTTATATGCATTTATTGATGATTTTAAAGTTGGTTTATATTGGGTTTGTTGTTGAAATGAAAAGTTGAGTTAGGTTAGGGTTAAGGCTTGAATTAAATTTAAAGATTTGATGATTAAATAATTAATTATGTTAATTGATGATTAAATAATCAATTATGTTGAAATGTAATAATAATGGTATGAAATTGATTATTAGGCTATGGGTTTAAGAAATTTTCAAGTAGTTAAACATGATGAATAGTAAGATATGAAAATTTGATTGGTTGACGATGATGGATAGTAAAATCTAAAATTTGAAATTTATTAGTTAGTTGTTGAGTAAAGAGTTTAATTATGAGTTTATTATTTGGAGTGAAAGATTTATTATGGATTGATATAATAATACGAATTCAATTGTTTTAGAGGTTAAGAAAAAATGATGGATTATAAAGGGGCATAACTTTTGGGTGATCACTTCCAATGATGCGTTATGTTTGTTTCACCCCAGTGTAAATTTAGATATTTAATTTGATTATTCTATATAAAGATTTTGATGTTTGATATGATTTGAATTTGAATTATTTAAAGATATGATATATGATTTGATATTTATAATATACATTTGATCGAGAAATAAGCATTGCATATTTTATTTTTACGGGGTTTATGAGATTTTCTATTGAACTCTTCGAATCTTTATCCTAAAGTCGACATATTGATCATGTGACTTATTTAATTATAATGTTTTGAATTTATATTTAATATTGTTGTATCTTTTAAAAGCTATACATTTATACTTACCGAGTTATGTTAGGTTGATAATTATCATATTAGATATGTTTAATTATTATGAATGGAATGAGAGTTGTATTAAAATATTGATTATGGATATTATTTTAAAAAATACAAGAATACTATAGAATTATCGTTTATGCTTGGAGTTATAAAGTATTGACTATTAGGTTGTGATATTACAAATTGAAAATGATACTCGATGTGCTTATAGTTTTAAGAATTATAGTTTAAATATTCGAGGCTTGCTTGAGTCAAAATGGGTCCCATGACTTCTTCGATTCTTGCTTCGATCATGGCCTACTTCGAGGGTTATGACACCCCACATCATCTCTTTCCCACCCAATCGCCATAAAAATGAATTCAACAAACTTTTTTCTATGGAAGACGTAAATATTACCATTATTAAGGGGTCACAACCTTATCCATCATGTTAATGGAACCAAAGATCCTCTATATATCTTTCTTGATGATGGATATGCTAATCTCGTCTACTCTAATTGCCACCGTCAAGACTAGCTCATCTTTAGTTGGATTTTCTCATCTTTGTGTGAGATGGTTCTTACTCATGTTGTTAAAGTATGTACAATACGAGACCCATGGCTTAAACTTGTTGCTACCTATACGAGTTGGTTTCTACATGTAGGTCCCCCAACTCAAAACATAACCGACTCGCCTTTATCATGGTAACGATGATATTCCAACATATATCCATCAATCCAAGTCCTTTTTTGATCAACTGGTAGCCTTTGGCGATCCTATGTCTGCAGAAGATGTAGCCGATGCAATTCTTATAGGTCTTAGGAGTGTTTATCGTCCTTTTGTTCGATCTCTAGAGGCTAAGCTTACTCGTTATCTCCTTTCATGATCTATATGGACTATCGTTAAGTGAGAAGCATCAATTACAAATGAAAACAACCATGCATGATGTGGTGCCGGCACCTACCGCCTATTTGTCCTCCCGTGATGGCGGTATCAACCATGGTGAGGTGGAGGGTAAAAGGGTTGTAATCGGTGTGCTAGAAGCTACTATAATGGTATCTACTCCTCCTCTTGTTTAGCTTAGCCTTCTTCCTCACATTCACCAAATTATTCTTCTTTGAATACAAATATCTTAACTTGCCATAATTGCTATAAACATGGATACATATCACGCTAATGTCTTTCACCAACATAAAGGAATGATAATAGATCATATCGGCATCCCAAACCAGCTAGTTATCTTGCCTTTACTATCACTTCACCACATTTGTCGTGGATTGTAGATTTAGAAACCACTCATCATTTTACAACATACACGAAAAAATTAGCACTTCACTTTGATTACAATGGACTTGAGGAGGTCACTATTAGCAATGGTAAAACTTTTTCGATCTCTCGTATCGATCATTCTTCTATTGCTCTCAATGATCACAATTTTGCCTTGACGGATCTATTATATGTTCCTACTACACTCGAGCATATAATTTATCTTAGCTTCTTTACCAAAGGTAACAACATATCTATTGAATTCTTTTCTACCTACTTTGTCATCAAGGATATCCACACGAAGACAATGCTTCTTAGAGGGTAAAGTAAGCATAGATTATATCACTTGCATTTGACTTGTTCTTCCTCAAGTTCTTCGACTAAAACTTTGTTAGCTACCTTATCTTCTTGGTATAATTGTCACGGTTAAGCCGCGATCAAGATTGTTCATCGGGTTCTTCACAAAAACAATATCGGTATTTGAAATAAAGACATTAGCCTCGTTCATCATGCTTGTAATATTGGCAAAAGTATAGAGTTACCTTTTTCTTTGTCTAAATTTTAAGCACAAAAACCCCTTGAATTAGTTTGTTATGATGTTTGAGGACCATCACTTATTGCTTTAGTATCTCGTGCACGATATTGTGTTTGTTTTTTTTTGTTTTATCATTTTAGCTAGTACTCTTGGATTTATTTTGTTAAATACAAATCGAAGCACTTAATACCTTTATTAAGTTTAAACATATGGTAGAAAAGTATTTTGGTGTGCCTATTAAGTCCTTTCAAGCTGAATGGGGTGAATCGAGGCTCTCATCATGTATCTTGTAGACAATGGTGTTACTAAATGCACTTCTTGTCTTCATACCCTTGAACGGAATGGGTATGCCTAACGCAAGCATTGGCATATTGTTAAAACCGGGTTAGCAATGATAAATCATGCTTATGTTCCTTTGAAATATTAGATCTATGCATTTGACGTTGTCATATATACAATTAATCACTTCCAACACTTACTCTCTCTTCTAAGGTGTCATATGTGGTCATCTTTCAACAAAATCCAAATTTCTACTTTTTAAAGACGTTTAGGTGTGCGTGTTATATTACCCTTGGTTGTGCTTCTATGTTGCCAATAAACTTGCTCATCGATCTAAAATGTGTGTTTTTGAGGATATAACAAGCTTCACAAGGGATACTTCTACTTGGTTCCATCTATAGGTAAGATTTATGTTTTAAGGTATGTCTTCTTCTCTAAGACTAATTTTTTTTTTAAACTCATATAACCAATACACACATCCAAGGCTCTTAACGGAATACCAATGTCGTTTTGCAAGGGATCACTACCACTAGACTACAAGCTTTTTGGTTCTCTAAAACTAAGTTCCCCTTTGCATTGCCTAGCCCTTGTTCTCCTCAATCAGTTTCGCTTAAGCCTGATGATAGGTCTGGATTTCTCCTCGGCCAGTTGCGCAATCCCCTTGTCATCTTTCTACAGCTGCTTCTTTTTCATGCACTTGGTCGGTTAGAGGTCTGGTGTCCCATTGCTGCCTATCAATTCCTCTCCAGAACTCATGCTCGCATACCATTTTGTCCAATCAATGCCACCAAACCTTGTGGTTCTATGCAACGCAACACTAATTCCAGACGTTATTTTATCCAACCCGTTACCCACGCCATTACCACTTCGCATCAGCAGCATGTAGTCAGTAGTCTTGCACCAGCTAGCATTCCCACAATTTCCACCAGCAGCCCCTCAAGCCTAACAAGTAGCCCCACATGTTCAGGTATAAATATTACGGTGAACTTAACTGATTGTGGCACAGGTTCTCCAGCCCGTCTACCTATTGCTTCTACAAAGGAAACTTTACCGCATGTCTTCCCACCTTACACATGACATAAGATGATCACAGGATCCAAAACTAGCTCCTTAACACCTAAGGTTCTTTCTAGTATCGCCATGCCACCTATGGATCCTTAAACATACACTCAAGCGAAAAAATCAAGAGAATGATGCCATGCCATGGTAGATGAGGTAAATGCGTTGCTTGTTAATGACACATGGATGTTAGTTCCAGCACATCCATTACAAAATGTTGTGAGTTAGGAATGGATCTATCGCATAAAACAAAGATCTGATGGTAGTATTGAACGCTATAATGGTCGACTTATGGCTAAGGGGTTCCATTAATGTCCATGTATTGACTATACAGAAACTCTCTCTCCAGTCATCAAACCCACTACGGTATGCTTAATTTTGCCCCTCGTTGTTTTGAAAAGTTGGGATGTTACCCAATCAAACGTTTCCAATACCTTTTTGCATGGAAAGCTCGATGAATAGGTCTTCATATCTCAACCTCAAAGCTCTGTTGATCCTCACAAACCTAATCATGTTTGTCTTCTCAAATGCAATCTCTATGGTCTAAAACAGGCTCTCTGTTCTTGGTTTCGATGTCTATCTTGATGCCTTATTAGCTTTTCATTTCATTGGCTTCAAGGCTGATACCTCTCTATTTTACTATAAAGAAGAAAATGTTCTTACTTACTGCTTGATGTATATTGATAATATGTTATTAACAGGAAGTTGCTCTTTCTTTTTGTGTTCTGTCATTATGGCCTTAAAGAACCGATTTGCTCTCAAAGAGCTTGGCAAATTGCATTGTTTTCTTGGCATTGAGGCTACTTAGAAGCCACATGCCTTTCTACTCACTCAACAGAAGTACATTCAGGATCTACTCCATCAGTTCAACATGATGACATGCAATTCAATAGCCTCTCTAGCGTATCCAAAGCTTAAACTCATTAGTTCTAGTGGTGTCTCTTTTTCTAATCCAACTTTATACAAATGTGTGATAGGCGATCTTCAATACCTAATCCTAATTCATCCAGATATTTCTTATGCTGTGAACAAAGTTTTGCAATTCATTCATTCTTTAACTAATGATCATTGGCAAGCAATCAAACGAATCTTACAATATCTGAATACAACAAGATTACACAGTATTTCTTATGACCTTCCTCAGCTTTTTGTATTTCGACTTATAATGATGTTGATTGGGTTGACAATGTTGACAATAAAAAGTCTACTACGGGATATGCAATCGTTTTAGGTACTAATCTTATCTCCTGGAGCTCACGCAAACAACAAACATTGTCCAAGTCTTTAACTAAAGCTAAGTATAGAGCCTTACCAACCGCAACATCTGAGGTGCTTTGATTGCAATCTCTGCTTGGTCAATTAAACTTACTCTTTCGCTCCAATACCATTGTGAGATAATTTAAATGCAACATACTTAACACCTAATCCAATTTTTTATTCGTGATCCAAGTATTTTGAAATTGATTTTCACTTTATTCGTAATCATTCAAGTAAATTTATTAGTCCGATGTATTTCTTCAGAAGATCAAATTGCCAATTGCCTCACTAAAGGTCTTTCCCGACAACAGTTTTAGTTCTTGCATGACAAGTTGACAGTTCAAATTCTCTGCTCAACTTGAAGGAAGGTGTTAGGATTGAAAGTAGATAAGTATAGTACATATGATAAAACTCTATTTATTTTTATGTATACCAGTCCTTGTCAAATAGGTACTGTGTAACCTATATATACATCAATATAGAACACTCAAATGGTGTATTAAATTCACCAGACATTAAACCTCTTCAATACCTACTTATTCCTCTTCCAGATCAGGTAGTGGAAAGAAGGATTGGATTGCAGGAATTAGGGCATTCATATATGCATGCATGCTTACTGAAAAGAATACAAAACTAACAGAGAAACCATTAAGTATATTAGGGCAGTGAATCAACTGGCAAAAGGCAAAAACATACTCCACGAGGCATCATAAAGCTGAACTATCCAGGGAGATGATACATCCCTTACACTCAACAATTGAGAATTCAATAACAAAAAATAATATTTTGATCTCATGATTTTTTCAAAAGTTTATCAAAATTGGGTTCAATCTCCCCAACACTACTTGAAAACTTGTCATCATTGACTTGATCTTTTGGTTTACCAGTATAGATATATATATATGGTAAAAACTTAACCCTCCTTGGGTTCTGGAAAAAAATTTAACAGGGTAAGTGTTCTTGAATTCAAGTTGCTGAACAGAATTAAAAGTGATTTCACTCACATTCATGGCTTCAGAGCAAGAGCAATGCCATACTTGGGGGTTGCTGCATGGGTGGCCTTTGAGTCATACTCGGCTGAAAAAGTTATCAATGACTTTGGTCTCCACTCATGTTGGTATAGCATTGCAGCCTTGCCATTATCAGAGAATCGGGTTTTTACCACTGTAAATGGATTCACTGCATGAGAACTTCCAATGGTAAAACTGTTTTCAAGGGTGGAAAACCGATGAGTCATTTCAGCTGCAACTGAATGGAAGGGATCCACTGAATGGACATAAGATGCCTTGAGAATCTGTCCTTTGTCCGTCCTACATAGTAAAGACAAGTTCCATTTAAAGGCAAGTCAATGCAAAACTTCAAACCAAAACCATTATGAATATAAAGAAACACAAAAATGTGATGCATCTTTAAAATGAAATAACAATAATAACCCCTTATACCTATTAAGCATAATAAGCTGCTTCTGCGGAGTTCTGATATCTAAGGTCTCAATAACTCATTGACAATCAAGTCAGAAACGATGTGTAAGAGGTTTTCATGGAACAAATGTTTATCATTCAAGTACCATAAATGTTTTGACAAATCAGTGGATGGATTGACAAATACAGGAGCAAAAGAAGATGATTATATCACTTATCATGACTAGAAGTCTCCAGTTGCATGTATGTTAACAGAATTTTTAGCGCATGGTAGGGACTTTCATAACCTGTGGTCCCATTCAACTCCAATAGTAGTAAAGTAATGCATTTTGGATGTAAAAACTCGTAGTCCTGACCATATTTTTCATAATCATGATTTAATGACTTAAAAGACTACCAACATAATATATATTCAAAAAGAACAAGGAGTACCTGAAATACTACTAAAACATCTAACTGCCGCATATTTAAGAAAATTCATTTGTCTTTACATGGAGAATACTCAGCTTGGCCGTCAAAAAACAAACTATTATGCTTGGGTAACAAAACATTAAAAGGCACTGCAAACAACAGCCTGACAATATAGGCCAAAATAACAGAAGTGCCAATCTAAATAGTGAAATTACAAAACGCTTAAGCACTCTGACTTGATTAACGTACTGTTAAGCACTCTGTTCACTGTCACATACTATCAAGTACCATGCAAGCCATTTGGGATATTATGCATCCAAAAAAGCACACAGCTAATTACGTGTCCATGTTTCATAGCAAAAAAACAACTTGGCAAATTTTACAAAAATGCAACTACCTTGTAACACAAAGGCACAACATTAAATATTAAAACAGGACAAAGAATAAATGCTCCTTTAAATAGAGATAACAAGCTTCCTGTATGCTTACAGTAAAAGTGCAGCAGAGAAATCTGGCTTGTTCAAGGCAATCCCAGCAGTATATTTGATAAACGAAGAAGAAGCAGTGTCAAATCCAACTTCACCGCCCAAACTAAGATTGCTGCTTCCAATTGCAGCTGAGAGCTCCAAAAGAGGATTTGGATTGAGGCCAATGCTGGACTCAATGGCTGCATGATGATGAAGGTATTGCACATCCAGCTGAGACATAACAGACAGAAATAAGTCAGATTTTCAGCACACCATTTCCTAATGTTATCCACAATTAGCAAGAATTTCTAAAACAAAATGATATCTAATGAAGTTTTCTTAGTTATTATGTTCTACCAACATCTTAAACCTGTTCCAAATTAATTAAAACAACACTGTTGCTTCTTTCCACTAGTTCATCTTTTCGGGCAAATCTAGTTAATTTAAAGCAAATTAACTAATGTTATCCACAATTAGCAAGCATTTCTACAACAAAATGAAATTTAATGAACCTTTCTTAGGTATTATGTTCTACCAACATCTTAAACCTGTTCCAAATTAATTTAAAACAACACTGGTGCTTCTTTCCACTAGTTCATCTTTTCGGGCAAATCTAGTTAATTTAAAGCGAGGTTTCATACACTCACAAGGAAAAATTGCCACTAATTATTTCACTTTTTTAATTCATTGTTATTGGAAAGACGATAGATATCAGGAGAAATAAAGCAAAACACGGAATTGCAGACTTCACTAAATGAAGATGTCTTCATATAATAGGCATTTTTTTCCCTATGAATTCTTAGGAATTGGATTATCAGAAAGTCCTACTTTAAGAGAACTTTCAGGCAAGCAAGTAGAGTCTTTACCAAGTAAGTGTTATCTAATCTGCCTGCCTCAATTCAGTTTTATAGTCTCTTATGGGTTTATGAAAGGATCCCAGAGCAAAGTCATCCAGATTATCATTGTACATATTAATAACTTATTCTCCAAATTCAAATGAAAGAACATTATTACAACAACTGTCTCCAGAAAACTTAACCCTTGCTGGGCATTGCTGGAGCCATGGTTGTTAAAAATGTGTTGTAACGCTTAAATCATCATATCTTGGGGCTTGAAATATGCTAAACATGTTACAGTGTTTACGAGGGGGCAAACTTATAAAATCATTGCAGTTTTGCATTCAAGAAAACTGGAAACAGTGAACTCGCACACATGACAACTATGTTTTGGGTCTTCTTTGAGTTAAAGGCTCAATTAGACCAATTGGGCCCAAATATAATTCTTAAAGTTATAGAGGAAAGAAACAATAAAAATGCCAGCATACTCTATAGAGACAGCTCTTTATCTCTCCCCGTCCATAAATGGCCATTATTGGCTGCTCTGTCAACCATCTTTCTCTCTCCATGACAGTATTCAAATTTTTAATGGCATTGTCTATGAAAAGTTAGAAGTTTTTTTATGTCCTCTGAATTACCAACCTTTAAACCTTAATTTCCTTTATTTCAAGAACCAACCTCATCTGCCAAAGTTTGAAAGATTGTCATGTGCATGAACATGGGAATCATCAAAGCATGATTGTGGGGGTTTTTTTGATTGTGTGTGTGTTTCTTGTTAGTGCTTATCAATTAGAGCAAAAATAGAGTTCATTGATTCCATGATGAATTTGCCTTGTGAATTTTATTTTATTTTATTTTTTTCAAATTTAAACCATAACTAACCATGTTCTATTGGGGAAAATGATCATACAAAATATTGTAACAGCTGCAATCATGAAGTTCCAAGTTCAATGGGAATTTTACCTCATTTATTTGACTAGAATACTATCAGATCTAAAGTTAATCCAATCGCTTGCCTTTTCCCTCTTCTTCTATAAGCAATTATTGCTTGTTTGATTCCATTACTAACCATAATCTATTAGGGAAAATAATTACAGAAAATATTACATTTGCTGCAATTATGAAGCTCCAAGTGCAATGGTGTTATACCCCTTCCATTTGTTCATTTGATCAGGGTACTATTAAATAGATCAATTCAATCACTTGCTTATATTACATTTTTTAAAAACAATAATTGCTTGTTTAGTCCATCTTTATTCAGCTTTAAGCCTTCTTTTGTTAGTTAAAACTTTGGGTTGAGTTGCAAATCAGAGCAAATAATAGGATTATACAACTCCTTGTAACAAGTAAAAGGAAACGGCCAGTACCCAACCCAGGTATTGACCAACTGAATGACAACTAGATAGACTTTCCACTTTAAGCAACATGGAAAGGCTCTATAAAGTATAAAGTGACAAAGAGATTACCAAATTTTGGAAGTAAGAAAAATTACTAGGATTTATGCAAGGAACAAATAAGTTCCAAAACGAATGCATCCCTGACAGTTCCATGCAGCATGCAAATTCTTCCTTCTTATTTTATTTATTTATTTATTTTGCACAATTTAAAATGCACTGACCTTGCCAGACTTGTGGTCAGGTATTTTGAAACTAAATGCTGCTTTGGTGCTAGGCAAAATGTCATTAACAGTCACTTTGGTAGATACCTGTCAGAGTTACACACAGAAACAGATTAGCATAGTATCAACACATCCTTGAATGCAAATAATGGAGGATCGACTGTATGCCCAAAAGACCCCAGGAGAGTAAGCATTGAATTGTAGCTGGGTGAGTGAAAGAACCATAAATTCTGATCCAGTACAAGAACTTCTCTTCTTACATTAGAATAGGTATCAACTTTCACATCCACTACAGTATTGCTGCTCTTGTACAATGTATTTATATCACCAACAAAAATTTCATCCTTTTTCAGACCTGTAGCTGTAAGCCCCTGCATATGAGGATAAAATTAGATAGCATCACAACCTCATCATTCAAACTTTAATGCTTTTTTTTTTAAGAGAAACAACAACATCAAAAATTTATTCATGAATGGATTCCTTTTTCCGACAAACAGGAGCACCATGCAACCTTACATGCTCGACTGCTATAAACACATTAAAATTATTTAACCCTGAGAAAATACAATTCTGCATAATCCACTGGCATGCCCAATCAGACTTCATCTAATTTATTTCATCAATTAGCTTCAATAGTCCAAACATAGAGATGCATTCAATGATTGGTGTCCCTAAAATTCATTTGGATTTTTTTTTATAAATACAAGTACCTTAATAATGTTGAAGAACACAATTGACCCCAAGGTGGGAGAAGCAGGTGAGTTAAAAAAAAAAAAAATTGATAAAACTTCCAAAAGATGGAATTTAGGAATTGAATTGAAGTGCCCCTAACTAACATCTTCAAAACAAAGTACCTTCCCATTGTAAAGGTAATTATTTAGTTCATTTTGGCTGCATAAAGGGTAAAAAGAAGAGAGAGCTGCAAACAGGGATCATTTCAGCTACTAAAATTTTAGAATCTTATTGATCCCAAACTAATGCCTCACAAGTGCATAGTCACTACAGTAATAACCTATAAAAATAAGAAATAGAATCAAGCGAAATAGTTGAGTAGTTAAAATGGCTTAACTCCATAACATGAGAGTTAAGTAAAACAATATATTAAAGCATTTGGTGACAAATCTGAAACAAACCAGAAAAAAACGTGTCCCATACAACTACATATTATTATGAAAAAGCACCAAACAGATCAGCAAACTAATAACAAAAAGTAAAATCATATGGTACCATCCCAATAACTCACTATCTTAATTCACTAAAACCATAAACCAAGGCATTTTGATGTAAAGCCCGAAATAACCAGACCACTGCCCCAAACAGCTAGATGTTACTATGAAAAGCACTACATAAATTAGCAACTTAAATAAGGAAAAGTAAAATTCAATGGTACCATTCCAGTAGAACTCAGAACTGACAGAGTTAGCTTGTGATCATAGTTGTAATCTTTGGTCAGCAGGTCTGCATAAGATAAGCAATGTTTGCAAAAACTCAGAAATTTATAGCTAAAGCAAATTTGGAAAAGCCTAATTCAGTCATGAGAGCATCAAACAATGACAGTCAATATGCAAAAGTTGCTATCACTAAGAAGAACGAATGTAGCAAGAAAAGTCATTCGGAGTGTCTGACAATATGAGTGTCTGGGACAAGCATTTGAGTATAAAGTTTGGGTTTAAGGCATTGTTCTATTGGGATTACAAGACTACTTATCATATCCATAACAAAGAAGCTCCACCATGGATGCAATAAACTGCTGAACTCCATAAGTACTCCACACAAAGGTGCTTAGTACAGTGAATTCTATTACATTTCACAGTATCAATACCCCAAATATTCTACAGGCAGGATTGGTACCTCAAGTCCAAAGTCATGGTTACATATATTTTCTGTCCATATGGTGTATTGTGTTACTTTGGGTAAATATAAATCAAGGGTGGAATAAATTTCCACTTCAACAGATTAATAAGAAAAAGTACCTTTCTCTATAAGTTTAGTCCTACCATAAAAAATGGTCAAACTTGAGGTAAAATTTAAACAGTAGAAAACTCCAAATTAAACCATTAAGCATTTACATATAAACATGTAAATGCTTGCACATAGACCAACACATCAAGACATGCATGCGCTAGAATACGAATACATATCTAGCATCTCAAGATCATACAACTACATGGTTCCATATAAACATGTTACATAAGAGATACCTTTGGCTCTTTTGCCAATATCTGAAAATGGAGCTGGTTTGCTGCCCATCTTTAATAAGGACAAATGAATCACCGACTATACCCTGTTAAACCAACAAAATGCACATGAGCCACAGACCAAAACGAAGCCTTTTATCAACTACAACGGGAAAAATAAAAGAAACAAACAAAATAAAATGACAGAAGCCCTCGCAAAACACATGTGTTCAGGCATATACAATACAAGCCTTTGCAAAAAACTGAATCGACATACATAGGTACACAAACCACCATTAACATAAAAAAAGAGAATGTAAGACATTATATCCTAAACTAAAACAGACCCAGTCATAAAACAACAAACACGGCCACCTATTCCACCATCATTCAAGTACCGCGCCAGAGTTTATACTTTAACTCCTCTATAATAGATTAAGCTTCACACAAGTTTCCAATATAACTAGTACGGTTTTGCACAAACTTCAAAACCTCCATTTGGAAATGTTTTCTTCGCAATTAGCATGATAATATCAGGTTCATAATGGATAAAATAATTTGCAAGGCAACAACATAAACACTGATTTTAAAACTCATGATGCATTGATGAACCATAACAAGAATAATACCAAACCTAGCTAAGGAATACTTAAATAGGATATTTATCACATGTGTCTCCTCTCTCTCTCTCTCTCTCTCTCTCTCTCTCATTTCTGTATGCAACTAATTTAATGAAAAACAAAATATCGATTCGATTCAATCAGATTCAAATTTCTTTCACACAGAGCTCAGCTGCTGAAGTGAAAAAATAAATAAAAGGAAATAATAAACTAGGAACTGTATCAATCAAAGTTCGAAAATGTACTATAAACTTAACACCAATCTTTGAATATCCATACATGAGAAAGAGAGATGCTTACACAGGAAAGAAGTGAACGGAACGAAATGGAAAACGCCGATGGTCGCCGACAAGCTCGGCGGCGGCGGGTTCAGGGGGCAGCTGCCTTGTATTGCTGAAGAATAAGTAGTGGTGTTTTAATTTGAATGGTGCAGTAGTAGGGAGCAACGAGAGGGCAAGGTCAAAGACAGGACACTAAATTGGAAGAGGGGAATGATTATGTTACGTCAATGGTGAGATAGATAGAAGAACAGGCGTGGATCTCTGAGAGTTTTTGATTTGACTGTGAGGAAATTAGGTAACAGGTTAATGATGGCTAGAGTGTTGTTGAGAAGTTAAAATGACGATATTGCCAATGCAACGTACTTGTTGACCTTGGAGATCGAAATGGGTGGCTCCGTAGCTGGGCTGTGCTGGGCTGATACAAACAACCATTCCCTCTTTCTGGTTCGCAGTTGGCAAATGGCAAATTAGAAGATTACTCTCTTTTGTTCTCGCATTTTCAGGCAATTAAATATAAATTATTTATTCATTTATGTAAAATATAAATTAAATTAAACAATATGATAAAATAATATCGTAATATATGTAATAAAAATAATACAAAATCTATATATATAGCTATAAATCAGAACTCACAGCAATATACAGATCAAACAATAATTTTTCTTATGTTGAGATTATGGTATTTATTTATTTATTTTTAAATCCACATATAGATGGGCATATTTACTAGAAATTCTTAAAAAAATTTTTTTTTCTGGGATCAATACTTTTTTGTTTATAAATTTTAATTTCTGTAGACAGTTTTATTTGAAAGAATTTGCTCAATTAAGTAACAAACTTATTATATTCTGGTCATATATAAAATACAACTAATTAAATTCTTTTTATTATGTTATAAAATAAAGATTCAAACTAAAAATCTGTTGAAAAATAAAGAATATTGATAAACTAAACTTTATTATTTTATCTAAAGTAGGCTATTGCTTAATTCAGGCATCTATTAAGTTACTAACATTACCTGGTTGGACTTGGATTTGACTCATTTGGGCCTGGAGTATAAAAAACTGCTGTTCAGGTTTGCTTGGCATGCAGCAGCATACATATGTGGGGGCATCAATAGTGCTTCGGCATTTTCACATTTTGATGCCTTGATCAATTGCAGAGGTAGAGAATTGGAAAAGAATAGAGTGATAGATCAGATCAATCATAAAAAATGGGATAATATTGAATGATTCATTTCATATTCATGGGGCACCAAATATGCCCCCTTCAAGTTTTCACATGTTAGCTTACACGAGGCACCAACTACAGCAAGTGGAAAACAACTCCAAAAACAATAATAAATAAATAAATAAAAGTCAAAATCAGACTTTCACAGAATTCAAACATGTAAAAATACCTAATGTAACTCAAAGAATCTATAACAAAATATTGAATGGAGGTATATTTAATCACTTAAGGTATATGATACAGTTTAGAAGGTTTGAGATTACTAGTAACATTGAAATACTTCAATGTTCGAATCCACTTCTCTTGATTCTTCAATAGATGGACCGCAATTGTGTCTGGCCAAAGCTCATGTGTGCATCTCGTGGGCGGCTCAGGAAAATTGTACATAGACCACTTAGCATTATACCTATTCTTTGCACGGTGACCTTCTCGGATCCAATCACCAAAAACTTTATCCTCTGGCCCTTCCAAATGGTTTTTTGGTATCTCAGAATCTCTAATCCACTCTACAATGTCCCATGAGATCATGTATCCCATGCCAGACATATAATGCACGAAAGGGTCCATGCTAGGGCATGGAATAACATAGCCATAGTATAAATCTTCTCTAGGCAATGGTTTTAGCGATTCCACTAACTTATCTAACCGAAAATATGTGTCATCATCGGTCTTCATAACATAATGATAAGGAGGAGAAGGCCTATCTGTGTCATTCAATATATCTGGCAAGCTTGAAAAGTAAGTGTAGGTTTTACCTTTGTTCATGTTCTCCTTGCAGTCCAGGATGATAATATCATCATACCGCATTATCTCAAGCGCAACAAGTACCTTTTGGTCTTCCTTGGTTAGATTGCAAAACACAAACTTCACATCGACTTGTGCACCCACTGGAGATTGTGTGCCATATATGAGACGTAGAAAATGACGACGATTGTATTGGTCAGGAAGTGTTAGGATGCCTATGAGTATGCGAATATCACTAGAGGCTGAAGAATTCACAGCAAGAAAACTGGTGGAAGATGAATTAGAGGATTGAGATGGAATGTTGGCAAGAGCACATCTACCAAACCTTAATAAGCTATCAAATCGAACCTCGTTGATGGAAGCCAAGACACATAAGAATAAGATGAAAAACAAAGAGGAGAGAATGAATCGGTGCCGGTCTCGCCTTGAGGCACTACTCTTCATTGTTGTTTGGTTCTTGAATTCCTTACTTGGATGTCAATTTGATGGAATGGATTCAGGGTAGCTAGCCAGAAGTTATACAGTGATGATATTAATAAATTCCAAATTTTCTTAGATACAACGTATAGATTGGCAATTTCGTGCCATTTAGACCACCATGTTGACTTTTATTCCACTAAGGAAGGTGTATTGATCAGAGGGGCCGGGACAAATGCATCCTATTGGATGTACCATCATGCCCTTGGATCTTGGTACAAACCAGGCTTTTCTTTTCATGGCTTATGGCCTTTATCAAGGGGGCTTAACGTCTATTGCGTTACATTGGCTTCTTCTTTTACATGAATAAAGGGCTTGTACTTTACGTTTGTAACTATAAAAATATAATAAGTTGCAGCGAAGGATAGTGGGATTGAGCCTATAAATTTGGCTGGATTTGATCCAGTCTTTGCTTGCACAATGCCAAAGTCATTTGGTCAACTTCTCGTAATTAGGTATCTTGGCATGGACATAGTTGGCTGCAAGACCTTTTTACCTTACGTACCGCTCACCACACTTGAATCCTAAGCAATGACATTGACCCCAAGAATTTGTAGTGATCTGCAGGAAAATACGTTTGCATGATGATCCAAGATGCATTGAAATTTTGTTTATGTTCTTCCATAATTGATTATGAGCATCAAAAGGCTACTTAAAGTCAGCCAATAATAAGTTAATTTTCTCTATTTTTATAACCGATCGAACTTAGCAATTGTTTAGCAAAGCCAATTGTGTGGTCGACTCTTCAGACTTTATAAATGTTGAGAAAAAGAAGTGCTAGAGACCTAGTGTATTGACGCTTTTCTTGATTCTAACAGTGTTAATGGCATCTTCTCTGTACATGTATTAGTTACTATTTCATAATATTTTCTTATTAATCTTTAAAAAATCTTTTTTAATTATTAATAAATGAATAAATTTTAATATTTAGTAAATAAAAATGTTTGATGTAAAATCTAATTAAATAATTTAATGTAAAGTTTAATAATTTAGACTTAAAAAAAAAACCATATAAAATTAATTTAAACCATACTAAAACAAAAATTGCGGACTTAAAGTTGAATTATGTTTCCATTTAATAGTTACGTGTGATAATAACTCTTCAAAATAATAACAACCGAAAAAATTGCACTAATTCATTTTTAAGTATAGTTTGAAATCATAATAATATTTTTAGCATCATGTCATTGTAAGAAAGTTCCACCTCTTTCTCTAAAAATAAAGAGATAAAAAGGAAAAAAAAATGGTTCAATTTTTATTATATATCATGATCAAGATAGAAATTAATCATTACAATATAAACATGATATATATATGATAGAAATTATCTATAGCACCAACAAATATTTGAAGTATATAAGTTTTTCTTTACGAATAAACCTTTTTGAATGCATCAACAACTAAAGTTGAAATAAAGTTAATTTGATAATATTTTTGCCGCTAGATATTTAGAGAACTTTCAAAAATATTTTAATTAAAAATTGTTGTTTATTTGGTTTTTTACTGGGGATGTCGGTTAAACGACGTTTTTAAAATTGCCACCTAGTATTAAAATAAACCAAAAAACCTAAAAATAACATTATTTTAGAAATTCTAGGGTAAGGAGTTAGTTATACTTTTGAAAAGATATTTGTTAATGTAGGTGCCATAGATCTAATTTGTTTGGATGACTTGATGTATTGTATCATTGCATTTCAATTTTAATTAAAAAAATCTTTCTATTAATTCTTGTTATTTATAATTTGATAGAATTAGATAAAAGTTCATATGATATGTATTGCATTAATATTTGATCAATAGATGTGAGATAAACATCAATGCATTTAAATGATATCATTAAATTTCTCGAGTCGTAGCATTATCAAGAATGGATATTGACAACAAGCGGTAAGACTTGTGAGTACTATGCTCTTGCTATAAAATAGTAGTAGGAAATCTCACACCTACTAGCATGGTGATGCCAAAGCAAGCACTTAGGTGAATAATATTAGAGAATATATCATTGAACGTGACTCACCATGAGAACCCATTTGATATTATCTATGGGAATCTCCTATGAGATGGGTACAAATAGTCTTTTAACTTGAAATCATCATAGTTATCTCATTAGAGGATTAATGTTCTTTGACATTTGTTTTGATGGGCTTAGCAAAGAGCTACTTGTGGGCGATTCGTTGGGTGCATTAGAAATCTAATGGCGATAAGGGATGATTGAGATAAGACATTCCTTGTATACTAAAGAAGTTATCGGATTATACTTTGATGAATGTCCGCTCAAGAATCTGTGACTACAATAGAAGTATACCTATGAAGCATAGTTGGTATACTTGAAAGCTAAGACATTTGGAGATCAAAAACATTTGGTGTTATCATAATTAAATAGACTATAAACCAAGTTCAAGATCACATTGTAATAAATTAACATGATGACTAAAAAATATGAAAATCATACTCGTAAAATATGATTGCGGATTAATTAATTCTTTTAGAGAATTTGATAGTCATGATGAATTGCTAGATGCCAATTTTGATTTATGTATCAATAGGTAAAAGAGGTGTCTTTTATCTTCTTGATATATTGTCAACATATCTAGGAGCTTATTGAATCACACGTATAAGTTTAAACTTCACACTATAAAAGAGAAGCAAAGGATTTGGAAAAAGTTATCTATTTTGGCATTTTGGAAAAATCAATTTTCTAAAATGGAAATCAATTTCCTATTTTAGAAATTAATTTTCTAAATTGAAAATTAGTTTCTAAATTTGGAAGTCGATTACCTAAAATAGAAATTAGTTTTCTAGGTTAGGTTTAAGGGTAACTTTGGTAAATTATTTCCTATTGTCGGCCTCCCTAAAAATATATGACCAAATTTATTTGGATGGTCCAAATTAATTAGTAATTAATTAGGCCAAATTTTTTTGAGCCAATAGGTTAATTGAAAAGGATACAAGATATTTTTGATGGATGAATAATCTTG